GTTACTGAGCAGCAGTGATGTCCCTTGTAGAAGAGGGAGGAAGAATTTCCTGCCCCTCTCAGCCCTCCCACCAGCACTGAGCAAAGGTACTTCCACTGGAAAGGTAGGGCACTCTCAGGGAGCACTTTCTGGGAACCTGGGTACAGTCCTAGAAGACCAGAGGGCGGAGAAGATCTTAGCCTGGTCCAGATCTCATGCTAACGGTGTCACCCTGTATTGGGGCAAAGCATCCTGTGAACTCTCTGGAGGTAAGAAGATGTTTCATTTTAGCCAACACCCCAAGCCTCACATGATACCTGGTGCATGTTGGACACAAACAGTAGATGAATCAGCTCCTCTGAGTCTTAGTTTGGAGAGGTCAGCCTTGGGGTGCGTCCCAGTCTACCATCATCACACCTAACTCATCGGTGGTTTCTAACGCCACTGAGGTCGGCTGTATGTCTGCTGCACCTTCCTTCTCAAGCCCCAGAAGCGGAGCCACTAGCTGACTGGCTGCTGAGCACAGAGGCATGAGTAAACCCAGCCCAGGCCAGCAGAAGAACCGCCCAGCTCAACCCAGCCCACGTGGTCAACTGCAGCACTGTGAGCGGAGGTGGTTCCGAATCATTACGTTTTGGAGTGGTTTGGAGTGGCGCATATAGGTACCTGACAGACTCGGCAGGCCGCTGTCCACGCTCTAGCGAGCGATCTCTCTAACATGCAGGTCTGAACGTGGCACTCCCCTGTTCTGACTTTGCGTGGACTCTCGTGGCCTAGAGGGGACATTGACCTCTTAGCCTTGGCACGATTCTTCCCACCCTTGATCTCACTGGCTGGGAGCTTGGGTCTCGCAGAGGCTGCGGAGGGTCAACACCCTCATTGTCCTATTTAACGTCAAGACCCAGCTCGGGGCCACCTCGTCTGTCATGCCCTTCCTTCCTGAATCCCTTCTGGTGGACTCTGTCACCCACGATGACACATCTCATACCGAGAAGTCAGCTCTTCTTGTCTGCCTCCCTGCTTGCCGTAAGTTCAAGGGTGGGTGTGCTGAAGATGCTTCTGGAATCCTTGTTGCAACATCCTGCCAAGAAACCCTGCTGCTTTGCCAGGACATCTCCAGTGACAGGGAACCCCCTGTTTTCCAAGTTTTGTCCTGGGACAACTGTCATGGGATGGTGTTCTTTTCGAGGGATGGTTCTGTGTATCAGACAGCGCTTCCTCAAATCAAGCCAAGTGTGTTTCTTGGGACTTTCTTTCTCGTTGGTCCTACCGGGATCACATTAAGTACATTTGTTCCCCTCTCCTGGCAAGTCTTATCTTCATTGGATAAGCCCTCTCAGGCCCCAGGTATGTCCCAGAGGGTATGATACTGATTCCTTCACCTTCCTTCTCAATCAGCCAAGAGCTGGACGCAATGCCCCTGGTGTACCCTGTCCAATGCTGAGCTCAGTGGGATATCACCTCCCTCATTTTAGAGGCTATGCTCCTGTGAATGTAGCCTGAGAGCCAGCAGGTGTTTTGGCACCCAGAGCACACTGAGCTCCCTGTCAGCTAAGACCCTGAAGTGTGTTCCCCATCACACTTGCTGAACCCTGATCGACCCTTCGGGTGCTTTTTTGTCCCCTGAAGGGTGCTTTTTTGTCATGCTCACTGCCTTGAATCCAGCCCCCGCCACAGGGAGTCTCTGCCACCATCCAGGTGACTCAAATGGTGGCATCCCTGGCACTCGGGCCCCTTCTCTGACCTCACAGCCTAGCAAGCGTCCCTGGGTTTGGACAGAGCCCTGCCCGGGGTCCAGCCCACGGGCTGACCTGGGTCAAGTCTGGGCCTTAGTGCCCTTATCTGTAGACTGCAGGGGTTCAACTGGGTGGCATTTTCTTTTTAGAATTTTTTATTGGATTCGCAGCGATCCCTTGTACTCTCCACTTAGTTTCCCCCAGTGGTCACATCTGGCTTAAGTATGGGATGACCTGGAAATTGACAGTGATATAATTTTTCAGATTTTATACAGATTGCGCCAGTCTGACACACGCTCCTTTTAAGCCCCTTCTGGCTCAGAGGAGATTCCCACCTGCTCCTCATCAGCCCGTGACTCGCCTCCGGTGAGCAAGAAGCCGTCTGCGTCCATTGCAACACGCGGGAGTCTCCCCAGCAGGACTTGAGGGGCCTAGTGCTACTCATGCCTGGGGGAGCGGGGGGGGGTTGGGTGGATGGATGTTGGGGGCGGGGAGGAGGGCAGCTGTGAGCTCCTGTGATCTGCTCGAAGCTGGGAGTGTATCAGAGAAGCTTCATGTCTCAGAGGGAAAATGGGAGCCCACGTGGGTGCTGGAGCCAGGGCACTGGAAGACTGCTCCCTCCACCCTCCAATCCAGGTGGCAGGTCTGCAAGGTGGGGCCCGGGCCTGGACCCAGGTGGGAAATACTCCAGGTGAGCACATCCGCCAGACTCACGGGAACTCCAAGCAGCGATCTCTCCCACAGCACCGATCCTTTGGACCACCAGCCCGGGAGCTTCTCCCTCTGCAAACGGTACCCGACCTTCCCAGGAGAAGGGCCACGGAATGCTGGCTGGGGGTCTGCCACTTCCTCTCCGCCGCGGGGCTGCGCGCTGCGCTTTGGTAGCCGGCACTGTGTGTTACAAAGCAGGTGCCGGGCTCATCAGAGCCCGTGCTGAAGATCTGCTGTTGAGCAACGGCCCTCTAAGCAGTGTTCCGCTTTCTCGGCCAGTGCCAGCTTCTAGAATGTGGGACTGTTTTTTCCAATCCCTAAAAAATATTTTTATAAGCCGCACGTTGAATGCAGGGTCTGAGGAAGAGGACAGAGGGCATATTTGGGTCAGTGCCTGCAGAGCAGAGGAGAGACTGGGCGTTGCTGTCCCTTTCTGACTGCCTCCTCCTGCCCGATCTGCCTGCCCGCTCTCGCCACAGCAGCCGCAGGGTCGCTGCTCACGGGCGTTCTTCCCCGGGGGCTCGGATGTTGCATTGACGTGGGAGGTGAGCAGGCCGTCTGACTCCGGTCACCGCCCCTGGGAGCAGGGGACTGCGGCCAGGGAAGGGGGCGCCTGTCCTGTCGGCAGGGGCACAGCCACTCAGTGCCAAATGATTGGTGCCCTGCGGGAGCCCGGCGGTGAGCCCCAGGGGGACCGGGGTGCTGCGTCCTCCGTGCCGCAGCAGGGCGAGGGGCAAAGCAGACCCTCAGTAGCCACCAGCTGCGCGAATGAGCACACGAATGCGGACTGCCTGTCGCTAGAGCCTCCGCATGTTTGAGGGGAGCGTGGAATCCGGATCCCTCTGTGGGATCTAAACATCGCTAACCGACTCAGAAACAGTTCTTCGAACACCACGAGGTCCAAACTAAACAGGTGCGCGGGCCGGATTCCACTTGTTGACCTACATGCAGGCCGTCTGAGCCACTCTCTGCTCTCCAGGAAACCAGTGGGGCTGGGGCACTGCCCAGAGGGTGTCACCTATGGCCTGGGGGGGCCCGGCGGCCCGGCCTCTCAGGCCCCGTCAGCAGGCTCCAGGAACGCTGGCCACCTTTCTGTCTCTCCAAGGAATCGGTCTTCCCTGCTGTCCCAGGAGGACTGGCGCTTCCCAAGCAGCAGTAGGGGCAGGCCCCTCTCCTCCCCCCGGCCCCCCATTCCCTGGAGACCGACCTCACACTGGCCCACAGCCCCCTCCTCCCCAGGGCCTTCCTGCACCCGGGCGGCCCCCACGCCCCAGTGCCAACCCCATCCTCACCTTTCTGCTCCGTAACTGTCTTCTCTCCAACGACCTCCCCCTTCCCTCTGTCCCAACCTCCCGATGCCATGGCCGCGCTTGGTCCTTGTCATCTCCTGGGATGGCTCCCCCTTGGAGCGTCCCATACAGACATTCCTGCTCTGTGGCCACAACCTCCTATTTTTCTCCATCACCTGGGTGCTCCCGCTGCACCTGTGTTTTGAACCCTATCAACATCATCCTGCTTCCCTCACCTCCTGACGTTCATTTCCTCCCCTCTTTCAGCCGTTCCTCAGAGTCTCACCGATCCCTGCAATGCCCTTGACCCATGGCCACCCATCTGGGAACACCCCTGCCGGGTGGGCCAAGGGCTGGACGCAATACCACCCGTGTACCCGGGGCGACGCCCCCTGAATGGGGCACCGCCTCCCTCACTGGAGCTGCCGCACCCCTACTGGGGAAGCCCGAGAGCCATCACTGTGAGTCGAGCAAGTCACGCACCAAATCCATGCCCTCGAGCCTCAGCGGGCCCTCAAAACCCCGTGGGGCACCCCCGCCTCCCACCTTCTCCATTCCCCTCAAACCTCAAACTCTCTGCCTCACCCGCCTTCATCCCTCTCCCTCCCAAACCGTGAGCCCACCGCCTCTGGGGCTGGTTTGCCCCTTCTACCTGGAACACGCCTTTTCAGGGCATGTGTCTCCTCCTCCAGGAAGCCTCCCTGACCATCCCCTCCCAGGCCCTCAGCCCAGGCACCCCCTCTGGTCCTCAGAGCACCGTCTCACCCTGATGCTGACTCTCTCCCGATGACTGTCCCAGTGGCCACAAACCCCTTGAAGGCAGACTTTCAGTTCTCTGCTGGGTCCCTGGCAGCAAGAGCGCTGATGCGCTGAGTTCAATAAATGTTCTCCCACGCGTAGCCTGTGCTTTTCTACCTGTGTGTTGCGATTACGCTTCCACTAGCTTTCCCTCCTCTCTCCACGTAGCTGGCTCTGTTCTGCCCTTTGCAAAATTCAGGCCACGGTTCACGCCCTTCCCAGCGTCCATCCTGGGAGCCCTAGAAGGAACCCATCGCCTCTCCCTCTCAACACTCCAGGTACAGATCTGCGGCGCGCTCAAGCGATCTCTCGGTTTCTTTTTTTATACTGTCATTATTTACCTCTGTGTAACTTCCTATGGATGGGCTGTCTTGCCGTATCATCTCTGTATTCCTAGCATTTAGCCTAGAAAATTGTGGATGGGCCAGCAGAAATGCAGTAAGAGATCCTCACTGGAAACGCGTAGCAGTTCCCTGTGGCTGCTGGAACAAATGATCGCAAACTTGGTGACTTTAAAACAACACAAATTTATTCTCCTGTGTTTTTGGAGGCCAGACAACCAAAATCAGTGTCACCAGGCTGTCGTTGGGACGTCAGCAGGGCTGGATCCTTCTGGAAGCTCCGGGGAGCATCCATGGCCTTGCCTTTCCCTGCCCCTAGAGGGCGCCATCAGCCCTTGGTTCATGGCCGCTTCCCGCGTTACCAGGACCTCTTGCTTCTGCTGCGACGTTGTCTTCTCTGAATCTGACATGTCTCCTTCCCTCTTATAAGGGCCTTTGCGACTACACTGGGCCACCCCAATAATCCAAGATCATCTCTCCATCTGAGAGCCTTGGTTTAGTTGCATCTGCAAAGTCCCTGCTACCATTAAAACATTCACAATTTCCTGGGACTACAGGCCCTGGTTATATTGGGGGCCATTGTGCATCCACTACAATAGTTTTTATTATGTCAGAAATAAATGATCGGGAAGCCAAGCTGCTTGGCTCCCTGCTGTTTTAATTCCGCCAGAAACATTGGAAGATTTCTTTCCTGTGTGACGAAGATGTCGTCATAAGATGCCTAGGGCTGCATTGTTTATAAAGTTCCCACACCTTGGTCCTGAAAAGCTGACCCACAAAGACGTAGATCACTGGGTTCAGGCAGCTGTTGATGAAAGCAAAGAAGTTGGCCCACTGCAGCCCCAGGTCGGTGAAGTCCTCCCAGAAGCAGCCCTGGATGGCTTTCAACTGGAGCAGAAATTCCAGGAAGGCAAAGAAGTGGTAGGGGACCCAGCAGACCAGGAAGGCAGCCACGAGCGCAAGGATGAGGGCCGTGGTCCTGCCGTCCGGGGCACCCCCGTGACTCGTCCTCCTGACCTCTGCCCGGCCTCGCAGGGAGGTCAGGATGTGGTAGTTGAAGAAGATGATCGCGGACAGCGGCAGGAGGAAGCCCAGCACGTTCAGTTCCATGACCCTCGCAAAGTGCCAGGCCTCGTGGGGGAACTGCAGTGTGCAGGCAGAGACGTTCAGTTTCGGGACAGCTTTGACGGTGCGGAACAGGAATGTGGGGATACTCAGGAGGCCCCCCAAGGCCCAGATGAGCACACAGGTGACCTGGGCCAGCCACCGCCGCCGCTGCCTCCGGCTAGCCATGGGGTGCACCAGCACGTGGTAGCGATCCTGGCTGATGGCCACCACCAGGAAGATGCTGATGAACAAATTGGCCTTGATCACCCCATTGACCACGCGGCAGAGGACGGCCCCGAAGGGCCAGTCGAATTGGTTCCGGATGTTCTCAGCCCAGAAGGGCAAGCCCAGGACAAACACCATGTCAGAAGCCGCCAGGTTGGCCAGGTAGATTTCTGCCGCGTTCAGACGCCGCCGGGGCAGGAGGAAGACAGACAGCACGAAGAGGTTTCCCAGCAGGCCGCAGAAGCAGATGGCGATGATGAACGTTGGTAACATGCTGTGCAGCAGGTCCCAGGCTTCCCAAGCTTCGTCGCAGGACGTGGCATTGGGAGGTGCGGGCTGGCTCTGGTTGGAGGGCTGGAACTCCAGGAGGGTCTGGGACGCCATTCACAGCGACCTGCAATGAACAGCATGGAGCTAACATGGGAGGAGGCCAACTACAGCTCGCGGGCTCTATCCCGTTGGCCCAGGTTTTGGAAAATAAAATTTCATTGACACGGTCACACCCAGTCATTGACGTATTTCCACGGCTGCTTCTGTGTCACAACAGTGGGGTCGAGCAGTTTCGACAGAGACTGTGAGGACTGGAGACAGACTATTTACCGTCTGCTCCCTTAGAGGAGAAGTTTGCCAGCTCTCCCCTGAAGGGCAGGACCAGGGTTTTGAAACGGAGTCCAAATCCTGGCACCACCCCTTGGCATGGGCCACTTAGACCCACTGACTTTTATTTCTCTTTTTCTGAAAATGAAAGCTAATTGGATCCTGCTTGGCCTGGCTGCTGGCATAGAGGGAGGCACTCAACAGAAGGTGGCGATCAGTCTTATTACCGACCATGGTATTATTACTAACAGTCTAACAAATGCTTAATGAGCATCTGCTTTGTGCCGGCACTTTGCCAGGTGCTGGAGATCGACAGGACAGAGCAGTCCCCAACCTGAAGGCGCCCACCCTCTGGAGAGGGATACAGACATGGCGAGAGCCAGGGACAATATGCCCACTAAGTAAATATGTCAGCAGGGGGGGATGGTGAGATGGGATCAGATTGTAGATCTATGTCGAAGACCTAAGTACCACCATAATTTTCAATTGGATATTGGTTGTGAGGGAGAAGATTTTTGACCTGAGCCCCTCAAAGCATCAAGTTCATCAATGGAAATGGAGATGAGAGAGCGAGGATGCAGGGGTTTCTTTTTTTTTTTTTTTTATGAGGGGGACAGATCAGGAGTTCTCTTGGGACATGTTCAGGTTGTGATACCAGTTGGGCATTTAGTGGGGATGTCGAGCGGGCGACCTGACAGACAGGACGGTGGGTTTCCAGAGGCCAGGCCTGAGCTACTGGTGCCCGGCGGGGAGCTGTAATCTCGCGGATGGGGCGTGAAGCCACAGGACTGGGTGAAGCTGGCAGCAGGGGGTTTAACGAAAACGGACCTAAGCCCTGGACTTCTGTTTCTCAAAGTGGATGATGAGCGCATAACTTGCACGAAACATTTGTTGATGTCCGTGTCTCTATGGGACGGTGGCAATTTCACTGAGCCCTAGAAAACCTAAACACAAGCTGCTACTTCAGAAGGTAGTGACTTCAAAAGAGCGTGCCCTGAGCCAGCGATCGCACCCGCAGAGCCACCAAAGATTCTGTATTCAGCCGCGCTGTGAAGCATGGCTTTTCACCTCGACCAAGCGACTGCTCTTTCAGTCAGTTCACCTCATCTAGGTTCCAACTCATCTTGTGCACATGTGACAAAGGAAGTGCTGATCAAGTACATGGGAACTCCGTGAGACCCACACAGACCCTGAACGGCACCAGTTGGATACCAGAATCCTCAGATTCTTCAAATTAAGAAAAAAAAAAAGCCAGTCAATTCCAACCGTGATCCAATTCTTTCACCCAGTGCGTGGAATCAAAGCAAAATTTGTGAAGTTCATTCTGGCGAATGGTATTCTAAAGTCAGTTGAAATTGTTCACATTGGAAACGAAGTGGCTGTACTTTGTGACGATAATACGCATACATTTTGGTGGGCACAGTGCCATAGTAACAAGACTATTCTTGCTAAAATAGAGACAGAGGGCACAGACGCAGTGGACTTGGAACAGGACGTGGTACACACCATTTGTAACTGCATGTACGTAAGTTTTGATTTCAGCCAACTGAAATGGAGGTCGCCGTGGACCAGATTTACAAAATTTTAAAATATAATCACTGAACTACAAACCTTCTGTGATGAAGTTGATGGCGAATTTGAAAAGGCACAGCTTCCACATCTGTTTTCTTTAGCGGCTGCCCATCAACAGTCAGTTTTAGGGGACCTGCGTCTAAGTGGCCTCAGATGTTTTTAAGCTATCTGGTAAAGTGGATCTCTAAATAGGTGGATTTTGTTCCAGCTCAGTTATAAATCTTTAATCAAGGTATTCAATAAACGTAGTGCTGAAACATCAGCTTTTAAAGCTTTTAACAGATCACATTACTGAAAACAAAGCTTTCACATAGAAAATAATGATTTTTTTTTCTGAAAGAGCAAGGGAAGAAATGAGCAAATTAAGTGAGGAGAGCTCAAATGGCACACTAGATTTAATTTTAAAATTCTGAAATAAAATGCTATAGTGAGTTTTGGAATATCTCAACTTGAAGGAAGAATTTTTTCAGGTGGATAAACTCATATTCTATACATAAAAAAAGATGAAATCAAGAAAGGCAATGATCTGTAGCATCTAAATTGGACAAAACATTCAAACATTATAAATAGCTACAACTTATTCAAATTATAATCTGGTAAACATACTTGTGGAAGACAGAAACTCTGAACTAAGGCACAGTGGCGGCGCCAGTGGAAACGCCTGGGTAACACATTTGTGCGATTCCATGCGTAGAGCCCTGGGCCGGAGGGATTCTTGTCAGAATTTGCTCAGAGCGTATCAGGTGCCTCAGCACCTGTGGAGGGAGCATTTTCTTAATTAAATACATTCTGGTCCAAGAACAGAATCAATCGAAGGCATTCCTTTAAATTTATTAATTGTGAAATTGGAAGAAAAAGATTTCTGCAATTATATGGAGCAATTAAAAATAATAAAATCACATGGAAAGAAGACACTCTTCAGGAAAATGCCAGCGACGTGTCAGAGTCAGGTGAGGCCTAAGAAACTAGTTGTAGGCCATGGACATGTACCAAGAACAATGACTTCGCTCAGGTCATGTTCAAGGTTCAGTTCATTAACACAAAGAAAAGGTTTTATTTTGCTTTAATATATGTGGATGTGTATATGTATTTTTTGATGTACATATTTTTAAAGATAATTTTTTTGAAAAAAGTTTTTGATGAAAACTACTTTATAACTATCAAATGTAATGTAACCTTCTTGCTGTTTTAAGACACCCGGGTTGCGGGAGTTGGGTCCGGCAGCCGCAGGGAACACTCGCCCGCAGGCCTGCCTCCTCGGAGGCACGCCGGCCCCCGCGGCCCCCTGGCGCTGCACAGGACCCCTTTCTGAGATGGCCCCGGGCTTCGTGCCGCTCCTTCCGGAGCCTCGCTCGGGGCCAAGGGAAACCGCACCCCCTCTTCGTCTCTGCCCCAACCCCCACCTGCCCACCCCCATGCTGAGGCTGCAGGGGGAGCCCTGGCGCCCAGATCTGACCCCGGGCCACCCCTGCGATGTGCCGAGGGTCCTGACGGTGCTGGGCTTTGGGGAACCGATCCTGACAATGAGCCTGGGAGGAAGGGGGAGAATCTTTATGCCCACTGCGTGGAGGAGCCACTTGCCATGAGGAAAAGAGACGACTCGGCCAAGTTCACAGGACCACGCGAGCCAGCGCGTTTGTGCCCAGCTGTTTTTCCTGGTCCAGCTCCGGGTCCGGGCCTCTTTCATACCCACTGCTGTGACTTTAGAGACAATGGGCCTGGAGTCAGGGTCCCTGGGCTTCGGTCCGGGGTCACCAAACTGTGTGATTCCGGGCAGGCCACGTCACTTCCGTGAGTCTCAGTTTCCTCATCTGTAAAGTGGGAATGATGGTGCCTATTGCAAAACGTCACTGTGAGGCTTGAATGAGATGTTGCATTTGACACCCCTTGTAGGTTGTAAAAAGCATCAAATCCAAGGCTTTAATGATGATAATCACCACCTCGTCAATAATGGCAATCGCTAGAGTAGTAATAACTGTGATGACCAAGGGTCCCGGTCCCTCTGAGTGGGAGCAAACTCTCCTCCACGTGAACCGCCCACGAGGGTGGGAAGTACCCCAGGCCCCCTCCTCCGCTCTCCCTGACCTTGGAACAGGTCTGGGATGACCTGGGATGCGGCGCACGGGGACACGGAGGTACTGAATTCCGGAAGGCTGGGTTCCAGGGGGCCTGGTGCTTGGGGGTCTCGTTTGTCTCCAGCCTTAGAGCCATAACCACCACTGGTTTAAGAAGGAGCCACAAGAAAGGGGGCGGGTGCATGAAGGAGGCTGAGTGGGCCCACGCTGTGGCTTCCTTCGGTCTTTCCCTTTCCTTCTCCAGCTCTCCCTGAACATGCGGGGAGGGGATCCATGTGCCCTCGGAAGTGTGCCTGCCTGGGCAGGAAAGGATGGCTCTTGGGGGGCAGTGCAGGGGGCCTGGCTCCGTGTCCTCCTAAGAGACTCCAAGCTCAGTGAGAGGCAGGAGCTGCCCAGGCACCACCAGACCAGAGGGTGGGCCTTGGGTGCGGGGCTGAAGGGTTGGCCAGATAATGGCCCCAAAGGGGTCTACATCCTAGTCCCTGGGACTTGTAAATAAATATGTCGTTACATTGCATGGCAAGAGGGTCTTTGCCGGTGCGATGAAAGTAAGGGTCTTGAGATGGGGAGGTGAGTTTAAAGTGACCCAAAGTGAGAGCGGTTTCATTCCTTAGTGAGAGAGGAAGACAGGAGGGTGGGAGTCGGGGAGAGATTGGAGGCTGCTGCAAGGCGGGGGAGGCTTGAAGGCGGGGGAGGCTTGAAGGCGGGGGAGGGGCCTTGAAGGCGGGGGAGGGGCCAGGAGCCGGGGAACAGGCCCAGCTCCGAGAAGCCGGGAAAAGCAGGGGACGGATTCTCCCCCAATCCTCAGGAAGGACTGCAGCCCTGCAGACACTTTGACTTTCGCCCCGTGTGACTGATTTTGAACTTCTGACCTGCAGTGCTGTGCCATAAGGACTTGGTGGTGTTTTCAGCCACTAAGTTTGCGCTCCTTTGTTACAGCAGCCAAAGGAAACTAACTGGAGGGCGGGGGCGGGGGGAGTGCAAACTCACGCCTGCCCTGCAGATCGGGGACCGCCACCTGGGCCACTGGCAGATGTCTGATACAACCCCAATGCGATCAGCTCCGCAGACTCTGCCCTCCGTCCCATAGGACCTGACTGTGTCCCTGGCCACTGTCGCCTCCAGCTGGGCTCATTTGTAAACACTGCTTCTGTCTGTGTTTATATGACCTCGGCCAGAGGAAAGAAATCTTCCTTCGCTGCTTCTTAGTTTTAGCTCTGATATTTGCCTGGGACATAGTAGGTGTTCAGTAAACAGCAGCTAGCGCTATGCTTAGTAATATTTGATCCTATTTGAAAAACTTGGAGGTGACATTGGGCAAGTCTACTAGAGATGACACTACTGTAATTTCCATGAGATATTTTATGAGCTCTGCACATTTTAAACATCAGCACATGGCCCTTGGAAGACAGCTGCACTTTCTTCAACAAATTAACCTTCCTCCAATTGATTCCCATGTCAACAGTGAGGTGATGGTTAAAGGCATTTGGGGTACAGACACAGATTGTAAAGAACGTCCACCTAGTCTCATAATAACACGCCATTTTCAAGCCTCAAATAACCCCACCAATGATCAATTATTAGCCTTATGAAATCTTGTAAGTAATCCTGGGGAGACTCGTTTGATTTTATAAATCAGACTTTGTAGGTTGTAACTACAGACTGAGCTACACACAGGCTTGGTGTATTCCACCTGACCTGGAGAGAAATTGCTGCTGGAACCTTTACAAGCCTTTCCCAATGCCCCGCCTCAGCATTCTGGAAAAGCAACTAGAACCCAAAATAGGCACGGAATACACGTCCCTTCAACTGACCTAAAATTACGTTTTAAAAAAGATATATACTTCCAGAAGGCTGAAAATTCTGCCAATATTTAGTTGTAAAAGAAAGATTATTTTCTCTCTTTCTAAGAGACACGGACCTCTTCTTGTATTTTAGTCTTGTAAGAGAAAAGAAAGATGGTCATTTACTTACTTAGGAAGAAAATGAAAGCGCTCACCACGCCAGCTGGGCTTCCTGATGGCAACAGCTCCCTTCGGAGGTGCTTTCTGCTCTGGAAAGCACTTGGAAATGGGGTGGCCTTCACTTACGTAACCTCTGCTCCAGTGATGTCATTGGAGGCCCTGCCGGCAAAGCGAGCCTTTCAGGCGGGGGGGCGGGAGAAGCAAGCTTCGGTTTTGAAAGGAAAACTGTTTTGGTCTTCGGGGCTGGCAAGAGATGGCTCAGCAGCCGTCTGCCCCCTTACCTGGCTGACATCTGGGGAGGCGCGCGGCGCAATCCTGCCAAGAAGAGCACGCTGGCCAGCATGCCCTGAGAACACGGTTGGCACAGGGAAAGTAGCCAATGATGTTGCCGTGAGCAGCGATGGTGTCAGATGGCTACCACACTAACCGGCGGGGGCGGGGGGCGGTCACTTGGTAAGACAAGAAAATGTCTCATCACAATGTTGTATGCCTGTAATAGTGTATGTCCGGTGTAACTGAAAAATGAATTAAAAACACTTTAAAAAGGCAAAAGACAAACCAAAGCCAAAACCACACGGCTTTGGGCATCTCTGAGTCCCCCCCGAGACTCGGGCATTGGCAGACATGGAGCGATGACTTTGCTGTTCACAGCGGGGTCCTCAGCAGCTTTGGTGGGAGCCGACTCAAATGTCCCCATGTGGATTTTGGTCATGAAGGATACTCCGCCAAGAATCCATCAGTGTGGACTCCGTTAAATGGCCAGGGAACCAGGAGAAGCGTGATGCATGCCCCAGGCGGAGTTGAGCAAAATCAGATGCAATTTTTCCTAATCCTCCCTGGCAGTTCTGAGGTCTGCACTTGAGCTGAGTCTGCATACATCAACTTGAACTCCCCAAGACTCATGGCCAGGTGGCAGAAATTTCTGGCTTTCTTTCAGAGTCAGGCCTCCAGATCCCTGAACGGAGCCCAGGTTCCCTGTTCAGCTTTGCTTCTAAAGAGGAAAACATTTTAAGTCCCCCTTAGATGCAGGACAACGTGTCCACACCAAGGCTCCGGCGAGGCGATGCCCCAGACCTCAGCCCCTCAGGCCTCTCTGCACGCTGGTCCTGCCTCAGTGTCACCATGAACCCCGCGTGGCCAAGGCAGAAAATGTCCCCTTGGTCCTACGAAGCTGGCTTTCTCATGGTGTTTCCCTTTTATGACATCTCCGTGGGGGAGAAATTGTACTTTTGAATTTTCTAGTGGTTTTTTCCTGTTGATGGACATCTTAAAATTGTGGAAGCAGGGGAAAAAAAAAAATAAAAAGAACACTTCAGGAATCAGGAGCAGATGTGTGATTTAGGGAGGAAACTGGAGTTTGTCTTTATGGAATGTCCCTTCAAATCGGGAGCGACCCGGGACGTTTGTAGTCGTGCAGATGCTGGGCCAGTGCCCGCCGCCATTTCAGGGCGGATTTTAACCGGAGAAAGTTTCCAAATCCCGGGATTTCCTGACCAGTCCTGCAGATGGGGGTCTCGCCAACCAGCCTCCCTGCCCTTTGCAGACAGCGGTTGGCTCTCCTTCCTTCAGCGAGTGTTTACACTGCGCGGTTTCTGGGAAGTGCTGCTCTGAGGTGGCGTCTTCCTGCCCGAGCATGCGTTCGCCCACGGATGTGGCCCGGCAGCCTGGGCTTTGCTTCCTGGGGAGGACAGCCCACGAGGGGAGGTGGGCTGAGCGAGGCAGGCCATGTGGCCGGGACTGTTGGTCGGCGCCCCACACGCCACCAGGGAGGGCTGAGTGAGCCGGCCTGCGGGGGACGACTCTATGGCAGCAGTGCCAGGGCCATGGGGGCCCCGCCTGTGGGTGGGGCGGAAAGCAGGGGGGATGATTAACACATGGAGGCTCCCCCTGTTGCTCACCGGGATGGGAAATGGGAAGCAGACCTTGGTCCGGGGGAGGAGGGGGGCTCCCTCTTCCGGTGGGCCCCGGGGCCTGGGAACCTGCATTCTGGGGGCCGCGGGCAGGGTGCAGGAACCCCAAGTCTCGAGGGCACAACGGGCTGCTGTGGTGTGGCGCAGGTGCGGCGGCTGAGTGCGATTGAAGTCCCCTGGGCGCTGGGACTTGGGGGAAAGCGTGTGAGGAGAACTCAACAGCACAGAGAGGGCTATCAGGCCCGAAAGGGTGGCTGGTGGGGGACCCAGGGCTGCCATGCAGCAGCACAGGCCAGCCGGCCCGCTGGGTGGGACGGGCCAGCTTCCCGGGGGCTGTTCTGCATGCTGAAGCGGGGGGCCCCGCGCAGCCTGGCTGGCCAGGGGCAGCTGGCCCTGGACTCGGCTCGATGCTTGCTCAAGGACGGTGAGCTGGAGTTTGGAGAACTTGGGGACACGTGGGTCACTGTCCCCGTCAGGACATACAGGGTCACTTTTTACTTCTCTAGTCCCTACACCCTGCAGTCACTTGGTCTCCTCGCCCTTCTAGTCACATCCAGCAAGTTCTTCAAGGCGGTAGACTCCAGCGTACCTCCTTCTGCGCGTCCTACAAGGAGCCCTCACGCACTGTGCATCTCCAGGTTTGCCACTTGTCCTTACAGCGTGTGACGTCTCTGGGATTGCCTCCACTTGTGGATGAAGGAAAGAAAACCAAAGCGGGCCATTTCTCTCCCGGACTGAAGACGACGTTCGCGTTCGGTCCAGCCAGCGCCCTTCCGCCGCGGCTTATACCTTCCGTCCTCTCCGAGGTTCCAGACGCGCGGCCACCACCGAGCCGCCCACAGTGCACTGCAACCCGCCCTCCTTGCTGTCTGACCGCTTTCCTTCAGCCTATCCTTCAGGTTATCCTAGATCAATACTCCAGATGCACTTGGATTTTGTCACTTCATGGGACAAAGGCCTGACCCTTGCAATCCACAGACACTGTCGTGCTGTGGCATACGGGGCCGCCCGCCGCCCTGGACCTCCCGCTCTGGGGTCGGGGAGGGGAGGCTCCTGTCTCCTACGGGATCCAGATTCGCCTTCCTAAGAGCGTTTGCGAGAATCCATGTCCCTGCTCCTCTTCGCCGCTTGATGCCCACCTGTCATGCAAGCCCCGCTGTGACCCTCCGCCCCTCTGTGAGCACAGGTGTGAACGCTCATCTCTCTCTTATGCAGACAAGGGCATGGCCCCCGCGCGGTGCCCAGGGGCAGAGAAGAAGGCTGGGAGCCCAGCCTGGCGCCGCGCGCGCTCTGGTGACCAGGCAGGCGACGTAAACATTTGCAGCCAGTTGTGCCCACACTTCTGTGGCAGAAGAACACGTACAAAGGGGCCGGAAAGGCGGGGGCAAGAGTGGGATGCCAGGGTGTGAGGGGGACAAAAATAAAGTCTTAAGTGTCGGTGTAGCAAAGCCCCAGCGCCTGCACACCTGCGGGGTGACCATGGCCGACTTGGGCGCGTCCTGGACGTTCAGGCAGCTGCGGGCGCGGCCCTGGTCTGTGACAATGACCGTGCAGACGAAGAGAAGGGCCCTGGGTGCCTGCCACGCGGCCGCTTGGACTGAGCAAAACACCGTGTCAGGCCCGAAGCAGCACAGACTGGGTGGCTGAAAGCAGCAGCCATTTATTCTCTCGCTGCTCAGGAGACAGAAGTCCAAAATCAAGGTGTTGGCGGGGGGGGGGGGGGGGGGGGGGGGCGCTGTTCCTCTCGGCGGCTCTGGGGGAGACTCGGTCCACGCCTCTCCTCCGGCGTCTGGCGGCTCTAGGCAATCCTTGCTGTCCCTTGGCCGGCGGCAGGGTCACTCCAGTCTCTGCCCCCTGCGTCTCTGGGTGCCCTCTCCTTGTCCCATAAGGACCCCAGCCACTGGATTTAGGGTCCACCTTGATCCAGCGTGGCTGCATCTTAACTACTTCCGCAAAGATCTCATTCCCAAATAAGGTCACATCCTGAGGCTCCATGGGGTGTGAATCTGAGGGGGGAAGGGAACAGTGTTCTCCCCACGAGAACACCTTTATCTCACTTTATCTTCATAACGCCTGGATCCTCATTTTATAGACAAAACACCAGGAGCCGAGAAGCAGCTAACTGACCTTGTCCAAATCCCCGGAGCCGGGAAGCGGCAGAGCTGAGATGTAAAACAGGACCCCGGCCCCCAGCCGAGGGCAGCCCTGGCACGTTGGTGCTGCCCCTGAGAGTTTACAAAGCCCCCTCTCCAGAGACATGAGCTCTGAGTGAGACAGGCACACTAATGGCATATTCTGCCCATTTTACAGATGAGGAAACTGAGGCCAGAGGCCAGGGATGGCGGGGTGGGGATGAGTCAGGCGGTTGGCCAAGATCACACGGTGAGTGGGTGGCATGGCAGGGACTCGAGGCCCAGCCTCCAGGGTTTTGCCCTATTATTAAATATTGTATCTCAGTGTAAGCTGCATGAAAAAAGCCGCACACAAAAAGGAAAGGCTCATATTGTGTGATTCCATCCACATGAAATCTCCAGAACAGGCAAACGTAGAGGCAGGAAGAGGTGGTGAGGAGGGGGGATGAGCAGGGACCGCTCATGAGATTCATGTCGTGGCGATGGGGTTCGCTGCGGGGAGATGAAGGTGCTCTGGAACGAGACCCCGGGGGTGGCCGCATGCGAGTGTCCTGAAGGTCCCCGGGGCGGGGGCGGGCTTCACCGCCCGGGACGACATCCCCCCAGCGCAGCTCAGGGTAAGGCGGCAGCCACCAGCCTCTGCGGAGGTGGTTCGGCAGGAAGCGAGTGCTCACAAGGCTCAGACGATGCGAAGTCTGTTTACTGGGATGGCAGCAGCCCAAGCCCTTCAGGCAGAACGGCACTTGAGGGCTACCTCAGTGACAGAATTTGCACCCCCCCGGTTAAGGCACGAACTCATGGGGAGCAGGCTGGCTTCCCGGACACCCTTCTGCCTTAGCTACTCCTGTCTCTGGGCCTCAGCTTCCAACTCAGTGGTTGGGGGTGGGGGTCAAGTCTCAAAGAGCTCAGCAAAGGGTGAGACGTGGTGGTGGTGGGGGCCCCTTGAACCTCAGCCCAAACCGCAAACAAACCATTAACCTTTCAGTCATGCTCTTGCGACACCATGACCTCCCAGCTCATCCCCGACACCCACATCCTCCCGGGGTTGGCCAGGGGTCACAGCTGTGTGAGCCTCTGCGGTGGGCTCGGGGGTTGAGCAACAAGGAGAGAGTGAAGTACATCGCTGGGGCGATGAGTAGAGGTTTCACCGCCCGAATCACAGACACGACTGTGCCCCAGTGGCTTCATAAATCGACAGTAGCTGCCATCATTTGCTAGTTCCTGTGGGGCCCCCTGCACTCAGTTTGTACCTCTACACCAGACCCTCCCCGGCTCCAGCCAGGGCCGACTCGGGCTCCAAGTCCACTGGAAGCCCACCTGGGCTTCTCCCCACTGCACCAGCTTGTTGGGGCCAAGGAGTCCATGTCGAGGTTGTTCGTGTTGCCTGGCTGTGGTGCGGGGGAGATGGGAGGGAGGTCTCCCAGCCTGTCTCCACCTGCTGTGAGCCCAGCTCAGATGTCCAGCCGGGCGGCTTCCCTGGGACGGCAGACCCCCTGGAGTGATGCTCCTGCCCGTGAACAAAGTCCCTCAGATGAGTGAGCTCCTTGGGGCACTTGTGAGCAGCTTTCTCCGAGCCCAAGGCTGCTGGTGGGGGGTGCAGGCTGGTGGGGAGCGAGGGCCGGGGGGTGGGGAATGGGGGGGCGTCTGATGTGGCTGGAGGGCGGGACACGAGCTAGGGAGCAGAGAGAGGGAGAGGCTGAGGGAGCAGTGCAGGGATCGGCGTGTGACAGCTCTCGTGAGCCACGATAAGGATGTGGAACGTCTGTGTTTCTAAAATTTATTTATTTATTTATTTATTTATTTATTTATTTATTGAGAGGGGGACGGAAGGGGAGAGGGAGAGAAACATTGATGTGAGTAAAACATTGAAGAGTTGCCTTCCGTACATGCCTCAACCTGGAACCGAACCTGCAACCCAGGCATGTGCTCTGACTGGGAACTGAACTGGTGACCTTTTGCTTTGGGGGATAATGCTCAGCCCACTGAGCCACACTGGTCAGAGCTGGATGTGGAACTTTATCTCAAAAGTAGCGGGACACTACTGGAGGTCTCCTGTTAGAGGGTGCCTCTAACAGTCACCTTCACCATCGCCGCCATCACCAACATCCTCGTGACAGCTCACACACGCTGCGCGCCAACCCTGTACCGGGCACCGTGCCGAACACTTCCACACGTTCATTCTGCTCGCGGTTCTTTGAGGTAGATGTCATTACTACCCCCGTTTTACAGATGTGAATGTAGACTCAGACAGGAGGCGCGAGGGGCCCGAGACCACAGGGCAGTAAGAGGGTGAGCCAGAACCACAGCTGGAATCCCTGTCCGTCCGATACCGAAGCCTTAGCCCCGGAACACCGCCGTCTTTTTACACGGAAAGTCTCTCTCTGGTAGTATTCGCGTTCTTTCACAACGTCGTTGCCTGCAGAGTAGACTAAGAACTGGGAGATGGTGGTGGCTAATATCAAAGGCGGGGAGATCAATAAGAGAGATGGTTAGACATACAAGATGATGATGATTCAGGCAACAGGTGGAGTCTAGGAGATGCCGATCCATCAGGTGGAAAAGATGGAGGAGGGGGTGCACTCACCGAAGGGCCCCAGCTTTCTGGCGTTGGATGGATAGATGTGCAGAAAGGGAAGTGACATTTCGGTAGACACAGAATGCAAGTTTTGTTTGACGAGTGAATGAATGAATGAATACATGAATAATGAAGGGGTCCCCAAGTGGATAGATAATGAGTTCCCCATCACTAGGAGTATGCAAGTAGTGCGCTGACTTGGCAGAAAGGTCAAATGAAAAGCACTCAATAAATGCGTACTACGTGCACGAATGACGGCATCACCATCATTTGATGATCCTAGGGTCTCAGGGGCCCCCAGACCCCTGGTGGGAGCCTGGCAGTGAGTTGCCAGCGTGGGAGTGTAGGATGGGGGAAGGATTCAAATCCTGTTTAACTTTCTTCAATTTCTACTTGAGTCCATTTCAGAGTGTACATTGTCATACATGTTAATAAGGATACCTAAGTGGTCCATGTAATTAAAATTCTTTTACTCATAAGGATACACAACCAAAGAGGCTTAGACGCCACTGAGCTACAGGCCAGAGCCCCAGTGTCGGTTCAGCAGAAGTGAAGGGAGGCCCCAAGGCTCCCGATGGCCACTGGCAGCGTCCCCCGGAAGCTCGGGGCTCTGACAGCTCTAACAAAGGGAAGAGCTGCGCAAAAACTCCTCACCGGTTTGTGACGCTGCTCAGAGAGGACGCGCTGTCTGCCAGTCTCTCGGTGCATGTGACGAGCTCCCTCTTTACAAAGCAACAGCTCTTTGGGACGTGCACAGCACAGGGGTTCTTCACCGAGGTATCAGCACACCCCCCGCGGGCGCTCCCTTCCTGCAGAATGACCGTTCCTCAGACCACGTGTGGTCTTAGTGACCCTTAGGAGCCCCGGGCCGTGAGGTGGCCCTGCTCCCAGGAGACCCTGGGAGCCACCCCCACCCGCTGATGAGCAAGGGCCGCGCGGCAAAGCAGTCTCTTTCGCTTGCGCTCCCAGGATGTGTGTGGCTTAGCGTCACTCTAACACCGAACAGTCCCTCCTTCCTGGTGCCCGTTTTCTTTTTCTAGCCACACGCGTGCGCACGTGCACTGGGGCGGAGGGCTGGGCTGGCTGGCCGGAGCAGGAGGGGGAAGCGGGGATGGGGAGGGAATCTATTTTGACCCCTCTTGTTTTAAAATCTGGAGCCGAAATGGTCAGGACTCACGGGGCTCTTTTCCTTCCAGGCCCTCCTGGTCCTTCAGGTTCTATCCACCCCAGATCCCCTTCTGTGTGCATAACAGCACCGCACATTTGCATAGCACCATTGGTTTTTCAACGTACTTCGGTGCCACTTCCCTCCTTAATCTTCACAGCCTCATGTGACAGAGGAGGAAACTGAGGCAGGGATGAGGGGATGTGCAGCTAGCTGCCAGCAGAGCTGGGGCATCGGGCTTCTCGCCCCTCTGCCCCGCGCAGCACGCAGGGTTTGCACGACCACGCCGTAGGACAGCCTTCCGGTGCCTGCGAGGGCTCAGCTGTCCCCACGCGAGCTTGCAAGGTCCTCCAAGGCAGAGCCTGCCCTTCCTCTTTCAGCCTCTTGCCCTCAGCGCTCAATGCTGCGTATACAGCTGGATTAGTGCTTATTGGGTGCTTCTTGGGCACAGACCCCCTTGTCTGTGGGCAAGGGGGCGGTGACAGAATCCTGACCTCCGGGTTCTTATCAGGGACCCTCAGAGGTTCACCTTCATCAACCTGAGACACTGTCCTCCAGAGCCCTGGCTGAGTGGGTTAAAGACACGGATGGCACACATTCAGCCGGGCATGGCGTGCTCACCCAGCACCCCCCAAAGCTGGGGGCACGCTTCTCCTGGAGGTCTGAGCTGTCATGCTGGGGTGGGCGGGCGGGGGTGGGGGGAACACCAAGTGGGAGGAAAGCTCAGGCACCCCTGCCCCTGCCCCCAGATCCCCTCCTCTCCTGGAAAGGAGCAGACTGGCCCAGGTGTGGCAGCAAATAAGAACAATGCTGTTGTGTCGATGAGTCCTTGCCTAAGCGTGAGGTCACACTGTCCTCACATCTGTGCTCACGGCAACCCTGGGCCGGGCAGGAATTGGGCTCCTGGGTCTACTGCAGACTCCGACCTGTTGCCCAAGGGGACACAGGATGACTTCCATCCCTAGTTAGGCACATCCAGGGAGCGACGGTCCACGGACCCTCATGTACATCCACAGTAGCCCCGGCCGCCTCTGCTCACTGGCTGCTCCCCGCCCACGCAGGCAGTTTGTGGAGCTGCCGATCCACCGAGATGGAGGTCCCCAGCGTGCCCATGGAGCTCTCGGCCAGGTTGGGCTGCGCCATGCAGCCCCCTTTCCGGCAGAGCTGCTGGTATACCTCCCGGGATTTCTTGCGGAAGCGCTTGCCCACGATGGCGTACACCAGCGGGTTGAGGCAGCTGTTGCTGTAGGCCACGTAGGAGGAGATCTGCGTGAAGATGTCGACTATGTACTCGTCCCAGCAACTGGACAGCACGCCCAGGCGCAGGAGCGTGTCCAGGAAGGTGCTGATCTGGAAGGGCAGCCAGCAGAGCACGAAGAGCAGCAGCACGGCCAGGACCAGCACCGTGGCCTTCCTCTCCGTCTGGATCTCCTTGAACTTCTGCATCTCGTTGTTGCGGAGCACCTGCAGGATCTGCACCGTGCAGAAGCTGATGACGCTCAGGGGCAGGAGGAAGCCCACGATGTTCAGCAGCATGTTGGTGAACACCTCCCAGGTGCGGGACGGGTAGATGATGATGCAGGCCGTGACGTTGTGGCCCTCGGCTCTGTAGTCCTTCATGGTCCGGAAGGCCAGCATGGGCGAGCTCAGGAGCAGCGCGCACACCCAGATCACCAGGCTGTAGAGTTTGGCCCAGCGCACGCCACGCATCCGGCCCATGGACATGGTTTTCACCAGGGCCAGGTATCGGTCAATGCTCACCAGCATCAGGAAGCAGATGCTGCTGTACAGGTTCATGTAGACCATGGTGTTCACCACACGGCAGAGGACCTCCCCGAAGAGCCAGTCGAAATTGTTGGCGATGGTGATGGCCCAGAAGGGCAGCCCGCAGGCCAGGATGAGGTCGGCCAAGGCCAGGCTGCCCAGGTAGATCTCTGCCACCGTGCACCTGCTCTTGTGCAGGCAGAAGATGCTGAGGACGAAGATGTTCTCTAGCACCGCCAGCGCGAACAGGACCCAGAGGAAGGGGGCCTGGATGGCGTTGAGCCAGCCCCACAGCTCGGACTGGAAGCAGCTGCTGCTCTGGGCGGGGGTCCCGTTGAGAGCAGGCTGAAGGACTTCCGAGGTGACGTTGAGCATCTCAGCGCTGAAAGAAAGTGGAAAAGAGACTGTTACACCTCTAGGTCACAAGAGGAAGGAGAAACCACTGATGCAGAAGGAGTGGGGCAATCAGCAAAGAGCTTCCAGGAGGCGAGGTCGGTGGTGGGCGGGGGCGGGGGTCCTTCCCGCGGCTGCCAAGCTCAGAGTGCAGTCCAGGCACACCCGGCTCCCCGGGGCCGGGGGGAGGTGTCCCCACTCCTCGGGCTAAGCGGACAGCCCCTGCTCCCCGTCGCACGGCTCCTCCGCGGGGATGTTTCCTTGGCCAGCGCCCATCACCAGCGCCAGCGATCACGAGTCCTTGATGCTTCTGGGAAGGCATGATACGCGGCACACATCCCTTCCCTATCGCGTGGGCACTTCCGAAGGAGCCGGTCATCATTTAGCCACTCTCAGCCTGGCCACAGGAGATTAGGTGATTAAGTTATTGAAACAGAAAAATGATATCATGCCAAACAGAGAGCATCCGGCTTGGCTCTGCGACCCCGGCCCACCTGCCCAGGCCTTTCTCCTTCTGGCAGAAGGCGGCGTCGTGCGGCCGTACCCTGCCTGTGTGGAGCGTTCATAGTGACATAGTGACATCAGAGGTGACATAATAGAGAGGGAGGGAGGGCGTTTTGGAGCCAGATCATCCTCTTGGGTTCAAATCCTGACTCTTCATTAGCTGTGTGACCTTGGGTAAGTTAATTAACCTTGCTGAACCTCAATGACCTACCTTATAAAACAGGAATCATAAAGGTTACCACTCAGGGTTTTGGTGAGGAGCTCAGCTCCTTATCTTTCTTTTTTTTTTTTTTTTTTTGTGAACCTACTGAAACAGCCAACGCCAGCGTCACCGTCAGCAGGTTCTGTCCTGAACCGATGGCTTCCCCTCGAGCACGGTGGCTCCTTTTCTACTCTGGGGTGAGACTCAGACCACAGGGCAGTTCACTTTCTAGAAGCGTTGCTGTTGAGACCGATTCACTTCGACTTTCAGCAAAAACAGTCCTGGTTTGCTTCAATCGCCGTGGGTTCCAGCCCTAGCTGTGTGGTCTTGGCAAATTGCTTGACCTTCCTGAGCTTCCATTTTGTTTTCTTTGCTTTGCACGGTTGTTGCAAGATTCAAATGAAAGAGTGGGTATGAAGACACATTGAAAAGCTGAAAACTCAACCCAGAGGGCAGGACTAACGGGCGTTTTCCCAGTGCCCCATGGGGTGGGGAGGAAAGGTGCAGGTAAAGGGGCTTTTCCTGGGTGGTTGATTGTTGGCCAGGCTTGGTGGGGCGGCGGGGAAATTGAGCAACAAACCCTGGGAAGAACTTGCTGGCTGCCCCTGGGATTTCCCAGGAAAAGCCCCTCTGGTTCTTGGAGGAGCCGGTGGCTTTGAGGGGCCAGACTGGAGACATGTGGTTAAACATTCATCAGCACATTTATCCTTCCAACGAGCCTGCACTGTCTTCTCCGTGCCAAGCCCTGCCCTGGCTGCAGAGGCCCGGAGGGGAATACCAGTGTCCCCCACCCTGCCCGTGGCCCGGTATGTGACGAGTGCCAAAAGGCAGGACGAGGGGCTTGGGGTCGGGGAGAAGGTGGGAGGTGACTCTGGAGCTGGGTCTGGATGGATGAAGAGCCAAGGAGGAGAGAGGACAGACCAGGCCTAGGTGCACAAGTGGGGAGGCCACTGGCATGTTCTGGAGGGCGGACTCGCTGTTAGAGGTGGGGAGAGACAAGAGATGGGGCTGACAATGGGAATAAGGACAGTCGTCACCGGGGGCTAAGAAAGTGAGGCTTTGTCCCTGACGGCTTTAAGAAGCAACGGATGGGACAGAAAATGTGCTCTGGAAAGAGTCTTCCGGTGGCTTTAATATGCCCAACATGTGTTGATACACTTCCCTTCCGAGGGTGGAGTCTAATTCCTCTTTCCCTGAATGTGGAAGACTTAGTGACTTGCTTTCCAGCCACGGTAGCGGAGGCGGTGAGAGTGCGTGCCATCTGTTATGAGGTCACAAAACACAGCGCAGCACCCTCCCTGGACTCGTGGGCCACTCACTCTGGGGACGCCCGGTGCCACGTTGTGAGGACACGCACGGCCTTGCAGTTCCAGCTGAGGCCTGAGACATCATGGGCACAGACAGGCCACCCCCCAGGCCCTCGGTTCCTGACCTGCGCAAACTGACAGGCTCAGCGAGGCCACCCCTGATGAGCCCCGTTTCCGCAGCTACAGATGCCTGCGTCCTCGGCTCCAGGCCCGGGGGCTGGGCTCTCACGGTCGGGCTCTCCAGCGACTGGCGCATCACACCAGAGGCTACTTGTTAACTTTCTAGCAAGACGGTCCCGCGCCAGCAGGGTGGCACCTGGCCCAGAGGTGGCTCCGAGAAGCCGCAGGAGTGTCCGAAGGTGGCCTGGAGAGTGTGTGACTGGCAGTTAGTGGTCGGGCCTGAGCTCTGTGGCCCCAGCTGGGACGGCCACCCGGTCATTTCCTTGGTGGGCTGCAGCTGCCGCAGGACCCAGAGGCCCGGCTGGCCCCCTCACCCCTTTGTCTTGGCAACACCACCCCCACTCGAGACTGAACCTCCCCTTTTCCTGCTTCTACTTGGGATAAGTTCCCCCACATTCTCTCTTTAGAGTGTCCCACCTTCCACCAGATGTCAGCCATGCGCTGAGCACGTTCTGTCCCCACAGCGGCCTGGTGCATCTCTGTGTGACTCCTTGGGTGTTGACCGTCGAGTAGCACTGCCTTCATGTCCCAGTTCATCCAGGATAGCGCACACGTGACACCAGTAACACGCTCTCCCTGCCGCCCTTCCCCAAAGCCCACAGGACCCCCACCGCCTCTGCCCCACATGCCTACGGGGGTCGGAACGCGGACCTCTCCAGGCCTTCGAGGTCTTCGGATTTACCGTTGCTGTTGCTTCGTCTGTTGTCCAGGACATGAGGGTCCCCTCTCCTGCGTGTTCTCCAGGTTGGATGTCCCCCTCCACCCACAAACGTCAATGGAAGAATCTCTTTGACTTACCTGGAAGAGGCCATGGTGGGTACCAGTTCTTCATAAATAGACAGGAAAACTGGTCTCATCCAGGCAGACATTTGGACTCAGCAGGATGTGAGCGAGGCCTCACCTGTGGGAAACGGAAGGGAAAAGATGGTTAGAAGGCAGCCAGGGGACCACAAGACCTGTGTCCTCCCCAGGCAAGGCCAGCGGAGTCCTTCACTCAGGAGGCCTGCCGTGCGCTGTGCGCCAGGCGCCAGGGGTTCGATGGCGAGGGGGGGCCATCAAGGACACGTGGGCGTTTCTCAAGAGACCTGAGGGTGAGCGGGCGTAGACGGGGCGAAGGGTGGCGGTGGAGAGGGGACGTCTGGGCGGAAGGAGCTGTCGGAGCAAAGACCCCGGGGCAGGAGGCAGCAGGGGCTGAGGGCCTGTCACGCCAGGTGTCTGCTGGGGCAGACGGATCTGATCGTGGTGGGTGGGGAGCAGGGGAGCAGAGAGGAAGCAGGGAGATGGGTCAGCAGGTGCTGCGCATCAGTCTAGGCAGGGTTGGCGGGGCCAAGGGGCGTTCGGACCCTACACCTGGCATGCCTGGCGCAAGCTTGGCAATGGAGGGGCTGGGGACAAGGGGCAGCACGTGCCCGGGACACCCCACCCCGGGTGCTGCCCTCCCCTCTGAAGGGGAGAAGGGGCGGGCTGGCTCGGAGACACAGGGTCACGTGCCGAGACGTGAACCCGCAGAGTCCGAGGTGCTTTTGTGACCTGCCGGTGCGGATGCAAGCAGCTGTCGGGCCCAGTGCGGTTGCGGGGCTCAGGGGAGGAGGCTGGCCGTGATGGGAAGGAGATGTGTTAGACGCAGGGCCACTCGGAGCTTAGAGCTAACGAGGCAGACCGGGCGGATGAGCATCCGCGGCCATGGCGGTTGCTGCAGCTGTGAGCTCTCAGGCCTGAGCCAGGCCTGCGCCTTGGTCCCAGGCCCAGGGGGACGTCCACGGACAGGGCCTTTCTCTGCCCCGCCTCATGTTTCCCTGCACCCCCACCCAGGGAGATCGGCACCGCTGTACGCTTGCCTTCCCGAGGGGCAGGTGAGGTGCAGAGAGGTGTGGTGACTTGTCCCAGAGTCGCTGCTGGCGAACCTGGACATGGGGCTTTGCCCCCGCTTCTGCTGCCAGATCCCGAGCTCTCTCCAGGACCCCACGGGCCCTCTTGCTCCTGGCCGGGGTGGCGTGGAACCCTGGGTGCGTGCCGGCCTGTGCGAGAGCACGGGCACACGGGTGCAGCCCCGCCCCGCCTACCCCTGCCTCTGCTGCCCCTCGCAAACATGGCCCCGGGCCTCCAGAAACCCAGCCGACCAGACCTAGTGGCGGGGGCTGGAGATAAGGCCATGGGCATGTGGTCAGGGAATCTGAACACATTAGAAGAAGAAAAGCCCGAGTGGGTGAGCAGGAAACGGGGAGCTGGCTCGTGAACACTGTGGAAGGTGTACGGGAGCCCTTGGACAGAGCTGCGGTCAAGCCTGGCACCTCCCCCAGGGGACCCTGAGCTCTGAAGCCCTTCTGATCCTTCAAGGCATGGCTCCAGGGGACGGGAAGGAAGGTCTTTCCACTGGGCCCTGCCTGCCCATGGGAAGAAAATTCAGCTGCGGGTCACGGGGTGCGATGCAGCATTTCTCAGCAACAAGCACTGAGTGTTTTAGGGGTGCTGAGACCCAGTGGGGAAGAGAGAAGACAAGCTTCCCCGGGCCCGATGGGGCTCCCTCTCTGGTGGACGGACCTCGGCCCACCGGAAGCTTCTCCCACTTCCTCCTGGACAGTGACAGCTGTCCAGGTAACCTGGGGCCTCCGAGCTTGGTCAGCTGGCCAGGGCCAACGTTTCCTTCCTGGGTCTGCCCGGCTGGGTGTCCCCAGATCTGGCCGAATCCACCTAGCTGCATCCTAATTGCTTGCCAATGGCTGTAAACAGTGTTCTCATGTGCAAAACAAAGTCGAGGGCTTTTAGCTCTCCAGGTGTCGGGAGGCCCGAGGTTGGAGGAGGTTGAAGGATCCCAGAGGAGTGGAAGTCTGAGGCTATTTTAGTTGTTTCTCTGTATCTGCTTTGGAGCATATGGTGTGCTGGGGCAGGACCTCTGCCTCGCTCCTGGTCACTCTCTCTGCAGTCCCCCTGGGGGGACCACGTGTGGGCTCTCTGCCATCCAGCACCCCATGGGGTTTGCCGAGGGGGGCTCCAGCAGGAGGCTGAGGGAGGGAGGAGGGGGAGGAGGGGGGCCCAGCCTCTCAGCTCCCTCCCCCCCAGAGCCTCCAGGGCTGGCTGCCAGGGGTCCCTTGCTTGCTCAGCCCCAAGGGACTGAGCAAGTCCGAGGAGGGGGGACAGGCGGTGGGGAGGCAGGGAGGTCAGGCGGGGCCTTTACCAGGCCCTGCAAACAGACCCTCTATTACCATTCTCTTCAGATTACTCAGTTTGAATGTGCCCCCTCTTTCCTCCTTGGACCCTCGCTAATATACCCTGGGATTATAGAATCAGGTGTCAGAGAATTATTTAAAGGACTTTTTGGGGAGCAGGCACAGTGGCCCGGGGGTGGCGGTGGTGGTCAGGCGCGTGTCTCTGCGTGTGTGATCTTGAGGATGTCCCTTCAGCCCCCTGGGGCCTGGTCTTCCTCATCCACCGAGCCAGGGCTGTGGACCCCTGCCTCCTACAGACTGATCCTCACGCTGGGGTGGGGGGGGGGGGACGTGACTCTGAGCTGGGTCTTTCCCCTCATTTTTCAAACCGACGCTTTGGAAGGAACACCCACGGCTCTGATTCACTTGTGTACTATCTGCCTCGGAATTCTGCCCAAGAAGACTTACTTTTAAAATATTTTCTTTCATTGACTCACATAAACATTGGGTCCTGGAGCTTTCAGGAGCGAATTCCAGTATAGCCTGCGAGGGAGTGTGTTCTGGTTCCCCAGGACTCCATGTCTGAGGGGCCCGGAGGCTGCGGCTGCCGCAGGGCGCGCGGCAGCCCCTTCGCGGGGGCCGAGCTTTGCCTGGCATGGGCCCCTGGCCCCGGAGCCCACCGGCCCAGTGCATTGTGGCTGCTTGTCGGAGGCGGGGGTGCCGTGGACCAAGTGGTGCGTAGCCCCCATCATTTAGTTACTCCCCCAGTGAGGCTGCTGAGCTAAACATCTGGGGTGACTCATGCATCCCCAACATCTCTTTGGTATTTGTCATTTCCCAGCAACAAGAGCAGGTCCCTGCCTAGGCCGGCCCCCAGATCTAGCCAGACTTTATCGCGTTGTTTATAGTCAGCACCAAATACGATAGTCCATTGCATTCATTTTTTACAGGTACTTTTTCAAATGACAAATGATACTCATTTTCCACTTACATTGGGGATAGGATGTTACAGTTCAAAACTCGGTCGGGAAGGAGGGAGTCGTTGTAGAGCTGACAGAGAGACAGCAGAAGCTGTGCCTGTCAGAGCAGAGTGTGGGAAGCACAGCCCCAGGGCGTCTACCTGAACACGCGGGTCACAGGCAGGGGCCAGACCCGGAATTGGGACCCCCTCTATCTGGCCCCTGGGAAAACAGCCCCCCACCTCCCAGGGCCACTGAGAGGCACAGACGATCAGCACGAGTCGAATGCACCAAGCTCGCGGTGACGGTGTCCCTGCTGCTCCTAGGACGGCTTGCCCGTTCCCGCCACACCTGGGGTGCGGGGGTCAGGGGGTGTCCCTTCCCCGTGGCCTGGCCTCCCGCTCACACACCCGGCTGAGGTTTTCAGACGGCATCTCCGTGACTGGATGGAGAGACGAATGCGTCTCCGGGACACCCCCGCCCCGCTGGCCGGGGAAACCCTTGAGATCGCCCAGTCCTGTCTGGGTCCCAGGGCCGGCGTGCTCCTTGCGCCCTGCGCAGCCCTCTCTCCGGGGTGGCTGGGCGTGTGCACCCATCAGCCCCTCGTATTCAGGCTCCCCAGAGGGGGCACCCTGCCCGCCCTCCCAATCTCAGACCACCCTGCGAGCCAGAGTCAAGGCCAGAGCTAGAAAGCACCGAGGTCCCCGGAATCACAGCTCTGGACCCTTTCCCAGCACCTCCCCTGAACAAACGTTTCCCCCCACAATCTGATCAGCACGAGTCCTGAGTCACGATGCTCTTTACTGATGGCCACAAAGGCCAGCTTCAGGCCACTGCAAACACTGGGGCGGGGGGAAGGGACGGGGACTCAGGCACCGCATCAGCCTCAAGTGCAGGGAGCAGTGTGCCCCTCAGCACCCGATGTCCGGGGGGGGCCTTTTCCCCTCCTCCCTGAAGAAAGGCCCGGGCTGTTCTCGGGGCAAGGAGGGCGTTCTGGGAAGGAAGCTCGGTTCCAGGAACTCCTAGGGAGAGGTGAGTCAGAGGACCGGTTCAATCTCAGACAGCACATGGGGGCCTCCCAGCCTTTGGACAGTTTACAGGCCCAGAATGTTTTGGAAACATTTACAGGGGGAGCATGAGGTGGGGGTGGTGGGGGAGCCTTGAGCCCCTCACCCACCCCGCTGTCCCCAGCAGAGGTCAGAGCAGCTTTCCGACCCTCCTCACCCTCAGATAGCCCGCGGCTCATTTTTGCCTTTGTCCTGCTTGACACGTTTTGCTTCTTGTTGCTGCTTTGGGTTTTGTAGTTTTAATGAATGAGCAGTTTTATCTGACATCCTGACACCACTCCATCCCCTTAAAAAAAAAAAAGTAACACCTCCCCTTTTGTTTTCAAAGGTAATAGAACTACAGTAAAGAACTCCCCCAGAGTTCCTGTGCTAAACACAGCTCCTTTTATGTCTGCGTTCAGCCACCCTTTCTTCTCCTGCACTTTTGCGTGGAATATCACAGCAAGGGAATTTTCCATGTTGTTCCGTAGTTGCCATAACATCTTTACAAACGGCATTGTATTTGTTTATTCTTGTTGGTGACGCCGTTCCTTTATTCTAACCCCTCACTATGGAATTTTCACAGTGAGCCACCACCTTGACCCGGGCTCCGTTCCCCAAGGACCACCTGCTATGTCCCCACCATCCCTGCCTCGGCAGGGGCTGTGCCCTCTGC